GAATAATGCTTTTGACTTAAAAGGGCTGATTGTTGTTGACGTTGGTTTGTGCTTCGAAAGGGTGAAATATAATATAGAAAATTGGGTTGGTCATAATAAGAATAAAGGCTATTGTGTGACGGCATAAAGTCACTTTGGGTATAAAATTGATGCATGTATGTGTTATTGTTGATTCTGCCTTCTAGTCTTGCAAGAATTTGTGTAGATTTTACGCATGGAATGACTTAGTGGTGGGATAAGATATTAGGGTTAACAATTCTCAACACAAGTTGCCCATTTGACATAAAATAATTGCAAAGATGTTTGATATGTATTTAGTTTAGACTACATCTTTTAATCATGTTTGATGAAACTAATTTTCGTCAGATTTTAACGAATTCATGTCAAAAAGTACTCAATTCATTTATTAATTTGTGTCTAACAAGTCGTGTCATATAAAGTTCGTGTTCTATGTAAATCATGTATACATAGAGTCATGTTGTGTTTTTTTTAATTAACTTCATTCATATCCTATTTATTTATTAATCGTGTTGTCCAAACTCCTATACCTTTTTTTTTGTTTTTTTTTGTGGGAAAATCTAGATCTGGTTTCACTTGACATGGAAATTGTCTTTTTTGTTAATATGACGATAAATCTTTTCAAAGTATTATTACATTAAACTCACCAATGCAGAATAAATTCTAGATATTTGTAATTATTTGAGAGCTAAAGCTATTTGGTAATTTCATGAGTTATCAACGAAAATCGAACAGATTCAAACTAGTTTGATATTGAAAATTATGGGTGTTCAAATTTTTAATTGGTCGCAAAGTATTCAAATTTTTGATTGGTCGTAATTTCCTATACACTACCTGACTTTACCCTACCTTACTGAACGGCTAGCCGCAAAAATCAGGTAGGAATATTAAATCGTTTTTGGTCTTCCGATTAAATCGGGTAGGAGTGCGGAATACCCATCAATTTTCGCATTCCTACCCTACCCTACCCTCAAAAAATATAATTAAATTTTATATATATTTTTTAGTAATTATAAGAGTATTTGTGTGGTATAATTTATATTATAAATGTTGTGAATATTTGAGTTGTGAAAACATAGACTTGTTTTTTGTGTAACTTACATAATTTGTGGCGAACTGATGAAAAATTGAAGCTATTATGATTTTAATGCGTTTCATATGGTTTAAATTTAAAATAATTGCTATTGTATTTGTATAACAATTATGATAAATTAATGTACAATTTTTTTTATGTTTTATTGTAATTGTTGTTGTAGTTATTTTAAGTTTTAGTGTTATTAATTTATTATGTTGTTAAATTTGTGAATGTTATTTAATTGAATTGTTAAAATGATTCAAAAATTAATAGCTATAAAAGTGTTTATCCGATTTTCTACTCAACTTCCTACCCGATTAATCAGGTAGAAAGTAGGGTAGGATNAAAAGTGTTTACCCGATTTTCTACTCAACTTCCTACCCGATTAATCAGGTAGAAAGTAGGGTAGGATAAGTTAAGAAAAAAAAATTTCACAAAATATCGAGTAAAAATACGAAAAATTATATTTTTTATTGAAAACGGAACAATTAGTTAGAATCCAATTGCTTGGTCTTAGAAGTTTGTTGGGGGGTGTGTGCTTGGCACATGGACCATGACCCTATGTTGTAGATTTGGAATATTGTGTGTTGGGCCTACTGTCCTTTCTCTCTCATCCCTCTAAAATGCAACTATTGTAAATTTGTAATGGCCCACAAATCAAAGGGTAGGAAATTTCATAGGGAACATAATCCCTTATGCTCTGGTTCTTGTACTAATTAGCAATAATGGTGGAGGAGAATGCTCCATTGAAGGTGCCTTCGTTTTCTAAAGTGATGATGAGAATGAAGAATGTGTAGCTTATTGTGGAAAATGAATGTTGGGTGAACTCGAAATATTCTGAATTTAAAATTTGATAATATATTGAAATTAGATTATAAGAAATTTGTCTTTCATGAATTTTTCAGTTTCAGCGTGGATAACTTATTTTTGATTGAACCAAAAAAAAGATTAGTCGAAGTGTATCGAGATATGCATGAACTTGTCCAAATACCCTTTACCGATAAACAAAAAAACTGAATGTTGAGTGGAGTGGGGTGGGGACCCAAATGACAAACTATATTCACTCATCTTGGGACATGCATGTGAGAGAGAGAAGGGGTTCCCAAAACATGACATGGGGAATTGGGATCAAGCTGGCCCTTGGAAAAATATTGCTTTCTAATCTCCTAAAGGCAGCTTCAAAAGATTGGGATTTCTTTTTTTGGGTTCACCTAAGTTCAAAGTTAGAAGGTAATATAAAATATCTTGCTCAGATTAAAAGAAATAGATTTGTCAAATCTGAAGAGGTAATTAATAAGTAATTTTATCTTCATTTTTGAAAAATCGATTCCCAAACTTAAACCCACAGATGAATAATTGTCGTCACNGATTTGTCAAATCTGAAGAGGTAATTAATAAGTAATTTTATCTTCATTTTTGAAAAATCGATTCCCAAACTTAAACCCACAGATGAATAATTGTCGTCACTTCAAGTCCAACATCTCATCTTGCCTAGATACTAACACTAACTAAATCTAATGGCTCAAGGTGCTTCAATACCAATATAACAAAGGAAATGATGTGGTTTTAGTCCCATTTTGTTGCATAAAGTTTTGGGTTTTTGTATGTGCGTTTTTATTTAGAGAGAGAGAGATAGAGATAAGGTATTCTGATAAAGGGTTGTGGTGGAAACTGACCTGTGTTTTTGTTACCTAATGGCCACAAAAGCCATCATGCCATCTTCTGCGAAAGTCTTCTTTAGGTCGTAAGCGTCTCTCTCTCTCTCTCTCTCTCTCTCTCTCTCTCTCTCTCTCTCTACATGAGAATATGTATGCATTTATGTGTTCTTAACACCTGCGCAAATGTTCCCTGCAGATCCAACAAAAAAAAAAATACAAAAGGATGTGTGCACAACAAAAACCACAATAAATTTAGAGGTAATACATGCACCTTAAAGTAAGGCTGAAAGAAGTAAAATTATGAGCTAGCTATTGCATCAATCATAAGTGATGTAAACCAATCAAAATAAGAATTTACCAGCGACCTAAATTAGCTGCTTGGCAATGGCACAGGTGTATGGTGCCCTATTAATATGGTAAACAAAGTCTAGTTCATGGTTCACATTTCCAAAATCAGAACACACAACTAACCTTCAAACCCAACAAAAACCGACGCGAAAAGAGAGAGATGGCATTGACATTTCAAATAGGTTCTTGGAGTGAAATAAAATTTTCATATAGTTGTCAAAAATAAGGATAATCATTAAAAAAAATTGGACATGACCCCTCATAGTTACATTTTGTAAGAGAGCATAGAGGAAGTGGAGAACCCCCATAGGGGCCATGGAGTGGAAATTTTATCACTAGAAGCTGAGCTGCTTCTTTGCAAACAAAACTGAATGAACCTTTCTCGGAGGCTCTATGATGCCGACTGGTATTAACATGTCTTTTCTCAATTTCTCACCAGCTTCTTCCTGTCCAGAACTGAAGCGGCTTCAAGATGGCAGCAACCAGTCCTCAATTCTTTCTTTGATTGAGACGGGTGAAGAAGCTCAAGACATTGTGCACTTATATATTTACTGATTTACGATCTAAAAGTAGTAGTTATTGTCTTTGTAGTTCACAGAATCCTTACAGAGCATTGAGCGCACTTCCAACATAGACCTTGGTGGTTCAAGGTCTTTCTCCTGCAGCACATTCCCAAGCAACCGTTGCATTTGTGATGCAAATGTATTATCGAGAACCTGCGAAATAAATGTATACTTTAAGAACAATTCTATGTGATATAGTCATCACACTAGGAGAAAGGCATATTTAAAGAAACCCTCGACAATTAGCAGGCCAAGCCTGGGCATGCTATCCACTCATGTTGAATAAACTTTTTGAGAGCTAAAACAAGCCCGTGACACTGATGAAAGACAATTACATATAGGTGAATAAACTCATTGAATCAACCTGGCAGTGGCTGACTCCATGGTCTGAACAGTGGACAACTTTTGAGATAACCAGATCAATATGTTAATTTTTTTCAAAAAGGTTAAAGCAACAGGTACATATTTACTCTGACATCATTGACATAAAATGATAATGCACATAAGATTCAGCTCTCTCTGTTTTAACAGGTCCAACAAAAGTTTCTCTTATGGTCCTGGTCTCAGTTTGGATCCTATCCATAGAACCAAATACCGAGATTTAGAAGCTTTGTTATATTCCAACAGGAGTCATAATGAGCTCGGAATCTCAATATGCTATAAAATTGGTGTCAATACAGGATCGATGGGAAATGTCGATATTCTCATACTTTGTCGTCATTAAAACTTTATATAGACTATAAAGCTTGCAAGATGAATGACTCAATTTCCTATAAAAAGGGATCAGTGCAACTTACAGATACAGCAACTCTTGAACCTCTATAACAGGACTGGTTCTCTTTCCTATTAACCAAAAACCTCAACACATCCTGTGACAAAACAAGAAAAATATTCACTTAATAGCATAACACAAGGAAAATGTGCAAATATGCTCAGACTCCCACTTACCTGTCCCATTCGATCCCATAACCCTCGGCAAATAATTATAAACACATGAGTTTCAAAGACAGGGTGGAGGTAGTCAATAGTCTTTGTCAGCAGATCCTTCATAGGCTGCATTCTGCTTTGTATATCTGATTCTACTAGACTTTCCTTTGTGTCTTGAATTATTTTCTTCAATTTTGTATCACTCTGCAACTTTGTCTGCAGATAGAAATAGGGAAAAAGAACCATTATCGGAACGGAGCTGACTGTTGGTGTCAAAATATGATCACAATGGCCCGGAAGGGGAGTCATGGATGGCGCAATATGAATGAAGATGGATAGCTCATATAGCCAAAGATGCACTCGAGCATCCATAAATANATGGATGGCGCAATATGAATGAAGATGGATAGCTCATATAGCCAAAGATGCACTCGAACATCCATAAATAACTTNCACAATGGCCCGGAAGGGGAGTCATGGATGGCGCAATATGAATGAAGATGGATAGCTCATATAGCCAAAGATGCACTCGAGCATCCATAAATAACTTTTCATGAAAACTTACTTTTTTAGCTATTCTTTAATTACTTAAAAGGTTAAACAACAGGCCACTTACATATTACTAATTAATTATTACTGAAGCGAGTCAAAAGGTATTCATAGAAGGCAAAAAAAAATATTGCAATATATTCAACCTAGTCAAAAAAAATCTAGAGATATCCATTTACATAACTAAATGTATTGTCATATTGCCAACAAACAGTTCATTTATGACTAGTTCCAATAACTCAATTATAGTGCAAAGCCAACTTTAAAGTAGTCATCAACCCATAAAACTTCTATCCAAAAAAATTTCAACAATTGGAAAGTAATAAACAAGATGAGAATATACTGAAATGGAGACCATAGTAAAATACATAGCTACTTCACCCACATTTTCAGCAAGTTTTTCAACGATAGCTTGGAGGTAATTTCTGAATTTGGCTCGGAGCACCACTGTCACTTCACCGATACGCTCTCCAGGGACAGTATTTCCACCATCAGGAATGCAAGCACCCCACGACTTCAATTGGCCTTCTATATTGGGTCGAAGCATATCAAGCATCCTTTTCATGGAATTCAAAAGAATTCCCAACTGAAAAAGTGAATGAAAACCATTGTTAACATAATAGACCAAAAATATCAGTTCCAAAAATCCTGCAAATAGATTAATAGCTCACCTCATCAGGGACAGTATAGGAGNCATCCTTTTCATGGAATTCAAAAGAATTCCCAACTGAAAAAGTGAATGAAAACCATTTTTAACATAATAGACCAAAAATATCAGTTCCAAAAATCTTGCAAATAGATTAATAGCTCACCTCATCAGGGACAGTATAGGAGTTTACAGAGCCTTTGGAAATTTTCTGGACATATTTAAGCCCAAACTTGATGGGTGTTGCATTCTCCTTCAAGGGAGACAAAACATCAGCGTATTGCTTGTCCAAAGTTTCCAACACTGCTTTTTCAACATCTGCTATAGCCTTTAAATAGATACAGAAGCAAAAACATAAATATGCTACCCACGTTGCAGATCCAAAGAGGAAAAAGGGAGGGAAATGGGAAAAGAATTATTTTTCACTGTGTAAGAAGCCCAACTGATAAAATGGCCAATAGTCATGTCATCTTGTACTTACATTCTCCAAAACAAAACTATATTCTGGCCAGCGACAAATAATGACTTCATATTCATTCAGTGTCTCCTTCAGCCGATCATACATTTCATCAACAAAAGGGGTTGTTGAATGTTGGGTTTTGACGCTGGACCACTTTTCCTGGAGGCAAATTAATGAAAATTGATCAGCAACCACAATTTCATTAAGAAGCTCTTCATATACTTCTTTCATGGCATCCGTAATATCTATTTGTCAATTCACATTTAGTCATACAAGCCACTCATTTATAATTCTATACTATTCTCGTAAGAGATATGATGCAGTTCACATGATACAGTAAGCAGAATATTTATTGTAGCCGTTAGATAATTCAATAATAGATTTGACCAATCAAGCAAAAGAAAAAGATTCACTAATGTTCAGCTAAAGTTTTTGAATCGTACAACTATCATTGGAACTAAAGCACATTCAAGTAATTTATACAGCTCTACCAATGCCAAATAAAGATATTAACAATGGAACGTAGTCATATGGTACCTTATTATTAAGATTTGTACCTTGTCAGGCTTGCATAATTGAAGCAGAGAAAGACGCTCGTCTTCAATCCAGTGTGTTATATATAAGTGGAACAACTCTTTTGCATCTACTCCACTTTTGATGGAACTGCAGAAGTGCATTACATTAGGGAAGATATGCCATATGATGGAATAAACAAGTAGCATAGCAATAAACAAGAATGATTAATTACTTAATATTCCAGCAAGCAAGATCCCTTTGAAAATCAGCTGTTGCAATAACAAGTTCGGCCACTGGAGGGGATGGGGCAGAAGGAGGACATGCAACAAGGAATGCACGCAGTCTATTGCAGAGCTCCACGCTGTATATTGATGCAGAAAGATTCGGAAGGTCTATAAAACTGAAAAGAAAATACAAAATAGCACACCAGTTAATATTGAGCATTAAGAATCAATCAGCAACGCTATAACTTATAGAGAAAACATGACTAACCTACGACACAAAAGCAATAGTGATTTAGATTATTGGCAAATAAGCATTGCACGAGAAAGGAACATCTGCAGACATTCCTCATCCCTTATGCGGTTAATCAACATATGTTAATATATTATATCATCCGATATATGTAAGTGGCGTTACGGACTCTGTCTAGAAAGGAGCATGTCATGGTTGATCTTAAATTAACCTATTTGAAGTACTTTAATTTAAAGATTTGCTATTTCCTCTATGGAGTCTTTTTTATTTTTTTGGACAGAGAAGGAGGGAGAGGGAGAGGGAGATACGAAAAAAACGACTACAAAGACTAGTGGCAAGCAAACTGTATTGTGGAATAAGTTTCGATTTTAGGAGCAGTACATTAATGATAACAAAGTGGCCCATGAAGTTTAGTCAAAAACATATTGCTCGTAATATAATACAATCTATCATAAATAAATTCGTAACTGGAAAAAAACAAGAGCACTCAAACCAACATGACTTAACTCAAAAATTGGAAACTGTAGACAACATAAATGATAAAACAGCTTAAAGATTGAAACTATCTAAATTAACAAAAGCATACCAGATTAAATATGATGATAGTTATAATACTCATAAATGAAATAATTTGAGCTGTGGTCAAGCCATGACAACATCATAATAACCCATTTTGGCTGCCGCATGGAAACAACGCAATAATAGGCATATGAAAATAAGCTTGCCTGGGAAGCACATGCTGACTATGTATCTCTATGTCGGTGAAAATCTCATTCCTGATCTTTGAGCAAAGCGATTTCATCTTCTGGTAAGCCATAGACAAAGTCTCTGAATCCTTCAGTGTATTCTCATTATTGTTAGAAACAAACTCATCTGTTTCTGCCAGATGCCTTCTGGATCTTTTTTTTGCAGCAGTCTGCACAAATACTGACCTTCAGAAAGGGAAAAGTAGCAACTAAATAAAGTAAAATTACGCAACTTACTTGCCAATACCTGAAAATATCTGCAAAGCTTCAACTGTGCCTCCGAGGATAATATATCATGCAGAAGATTGTATAGTTTTAAAGCAGGAGCCAAAGCAGGAGCTGCCACTCCAGTTCCAGGTCTAAAAACATCCACCACCCCTGATGGTGATGACTCATCCAGTGACTTGTAGTTCTCAAAAACTAGAGCAATAGTCTGCTCAATCTGCTCACAAACTTCCCCCAGGATGCGGTTCTGGTCAGTAATCCATAAAGCATGGTGATGTTAATAGAATAAAATGTTTGATCTGCTCAGTACTCGAGTTTCTGATTCAAAAGATGGGAACTAAAAATATACAAGGTGCTTTAACTTGGAATATTAAAAAAGGAAAGAAAAAGTGTCATTATCAATGTCAAAACTCAAACAGGTCGAAAGTGGCAGTAATACTTGTCAAACAAAACACAAAAAGAAAAATAAAAAATAGTGGCAATTATAGGTGATTTGGGCAGCATAACACTGGCATGGACATAAAACAAGAAGGCAAAATGATTTTTTCTTCAAAATCAAAAGAGCCATGTGGAATGCCACCCGTCCATAATAAGCATTCCTTGAAACTGCTCTTTGGTATCACAAGCTCTAAGAGAGAAAATTCACCAAAATTATCTCCCACCTCTTGGTGACTCAATGTGCGCTTAGTGTCGCCTTTCAAAAGCACGGGTAACAGCAAATCATGCACAAAGTCTAGACAGTCTGCAGTGGGCGTGGCAACGTCCATAACATAAGAAAGATATCTGCAAGAAAACACAATGTAAACAGCACTAATACAATGGATTACTTTAAATTAGAAAACTAGTTAATGATGTTGCATCTTAATAGAAACTCGGTAACACATCTCAATACCTTAACTTAGCATAGGCATCCGAAATTCCATAGTATGATGCAAATTCAGTCACTAACCACCTCCATGAACCATTCAGAACTAAATTTCTTTGCTGAAATCGTTGAACTTTCATTGCTGCCTCCAAAACCAAGTCATATGCCACAGTTTCTGCAACAGAACCATACTATAGACAAAAAAGAAAATGTTAGTACTGGCTATTATGAAAACAACAGTGATAGTACCGCTGTTATACTACATAATTCTACAAAAATGGCAACTGCGGCGCTTATTAGGTGAGTCAAATTTTACTCCTTAAGAACTGTTAGTAATATCAAATAATAATATAACCCAAAAGATAGAAGTTGAAATATTGATTCTCATCTTTGCTGTAATAAATTTGCAAAATGAAGTCCAAGTCATATTTTTCAACATGCGTAAATGATTATTGAACTCTAAAGAGAAAGAGGCAAAAATAAAAGGCATATAGTGCTTATTTTTTGATTCAATGGAAAGGTAATAAAGTATAGCAATTAGTTGAAACCACATATTTCCGGCAGAATGTTCCTTTCCACCACAAGTAAGTCCAAGACATAAGCATTCACTCAATCAAAATGATCAGAATTTCCTCACCAACTTGGGAATCGGAGAAGGTTGTGTGTTATTATTACAAACACTACTTAAACACTTGAAGGAATAATGTCTACTGATATATTACAATGTATACAAATGCTATAAACTTGTTGGCTGCAATCATGATTCCTAATTTCTATCTTCTCTCATTTTACAATTGTCTATCTAACGTCTTAGTTGAAATAGTAAAAGTGATATTACGGTTTGAGGGAGGGAGAGAGAGAGAGAAGAGAATAATCATTTGTGTCGGCTAGGTTGCCATATAGTCTTTTATTTATATTGAGTAATATTAGAGTAATTACAATATTACCCTGCTCTAAGTAACTTGTGTCCAATATAGGAAATACTAACTCTAACAATTCCCCTCAACCTAGAGTACAACGATAAAAAATGTTTAGCTTAAAACATACATTATTGAAGGTAGACCGAGTCGATGGCTTGGTAAGAATATCACCATCGAAGCAACAAACTAGTGGAAGAAGATCCTGTGATGACCCGTATAAAAATTAATCGCAAACAAGTTAATTAGAGTGATAAATATTATTCTATATTATCAAGGGTGATTTTTTGAAATTTCAAAAAATTAAATGGACCTCAAATATGGATTTCTTACGTAAAAACAAGTCAAATGATTATAANAACAAGTTAATTAGAGTGATAAATATTATTCTATATTATCAAGGGTGATTTTTTGAATTTCAAAAAATTAAATGGACCTCAAATATGGATTTCTTACGTAAAAACAAGTCAAATGATTATACTATAGGTCATATTTCATGTTGAAAAAAAATATCATATTAAATATTTAAAGTGTCTAAATGGTATGATAAATGTGTAAAATATGTGTCACACACACACACATACATAAAGGTGATAAGTGTCACTAAAACTAAAAGGGGACACAAAGAAATTGACAAGTGTCCTAGGGTTTTAAAAAAAGCACTTGGACGAATGTTTTGGTGATGCATCACTAAATGACACAAGCCACCATGACGTGAGGTAAAAGGCTTGCCTATAAATAGAGGCGGATCAATGAGCAAAATCAAGGAAAAATAAAGGAGAAAAAAAGAGGAAAGAAGAGATAGGAGGAAAAAAAAAAAAGGGGAGAATTTTGACAACATAGGAGTTTGATCTTGCGATAAAAAATTTGGGTAAAGTTTTTAAGCTATGATTTAATAATTTTATAGGTTCAATTTGACGAGCAATCATTGGAATGTGATCCTCGTTAAATATTTTCGGATCACATTGGACATCGTTATTTTTCGTTATTCACTCTAAAAATTATTTTTAGTTTAAATAAGTTAAAATTATTTAGTTTTAGAATTATTCTAAAATATTACTCCAATATGTTTTGTCATAGTACACGGTTTCAATTCGAGATAACATCTATCTAAGGTAGGACTTTTTTTATCTTTTCCCATCATTGATGTATCTCATGCATATTTAGGGAATTCATATCAAACCTATATTAATTATATTTATATAATGCTACTTAAATATTACTTTGCATTATCCATGGGGTTAGATTTGGATTTTTATCAACAAATCATGATTCCTGCACATATGATAATTTTAAATCAGAATCCTAGTTATTTTTTGGAACCAATTTACATATATAAAATGCTTTGAATTTTAATTTGACGTATTTATTTAATGTTTGTCTTCTTACTTGATGTTTGATCTGAATGTGATATAACCCTACTTTATAATTTTTTACAGATTTACCTTAAATGCACACAATTGATGGTAGAGGGTTAGTACATATGTGATTCTTACGAGAATTCACAAAATTCCTACTAGTCTTTAAGTTTATTGGTTTAGTAATATTGGTTGTCGTTGGTATCCTGTGTGGTAACACAAAATTTCCAATATTGGTATTCCTAAAAAAACAAGAAGGGCATCGAGTTCCCTAAAGTGCAAAACCCCAAAGTTTTCTCCCAACATAATTCATGCGTGGATCAGAAAGTTGATGAATTACGATTGACAATATGTGTTGCATTCCTGTGATTTTGATTTGACATATCACTGCACTTATTTTTTATTTGGTTATATTTATATATTGTTTTAAAACCTTAATAGTCAATGATAAAAGTTATCCTATTGGGCTAGTAAGCTCATCCCTATTTTATATTTTTCAGAAACAGAATTGAATCTAAAGCAGTAAACTTAGGAAATCACAGCTAGAAGTTACTATTATTATTTTTCTTATGTTGTACTATAATGTTCTATTTGATCATGTTTTGATTATGCCATAGGATGTAAAACAACCCTGACATAAGGAATATATTTTAAAAAAATAAATTGCAGTATATATTTTAATGCTCTAATAATAATATAAGAAATGTTATTATGTGTTACAAATGGTTTAGTCGTTAATCACGCTCAATTATTTTTTTTTTTTAAAATGGGGGCGTGACAGATCCAAAATCAGTGGATTGAAAAACAACCCCTTTTTCGAAAATAGAAAAGTCTATATAAATGGTTTTACAAAAATATCAAAAAATCACCATAATTACCAGCTTAAAAAATCGAGCAAACCCATGTATTGCCATCGCATTTCAAATGCTGACGTCAATTGAAATAGTAAAAGTGATATTAGGGATTGAGGGAAAGTGGGAAAGAGAGAGATAAAGAGAGACAAAAGAAAGAGAATATTAATGTAATTACAATATTACCCTACTCTAATTAACTTATGTCTAATATAGGAAATAAGAGCTCTAACAGTCTTAATGTCATATGCAAACAGCAGTAACATGATAAAACACAAGGTCAGTATTTAAATGATGTTATACTGTCACACTCACAGCTTGCAACGATACCAACAAGTATCACATTTTTATTTTTTAAAAAATCAAAAGCCAGTCATCAGGGATATATTGTCATGCTTAGAGGCAAAGCTAAATGAGAGAATTTTTTATTGTGGGGTTATTCAAAAGTGTATGTATGTTGTCGAACAACAAATTAAAGAAATCTCATTGTAGACCAGTTAATATAACCTGTAATCTGGAAGATTCTTTATAAAAAGATTTGCAAATACCTTGAGATGACTATTATCATCTGGAGAAGTAGAATAGTTTATGTACAACTGCATTCTTCCAACAACTTCATGCTCTGGCTCATGATATATGGACCACCAACGAAGCTTGTCCCCCTGCATCAACCATTGCATATAAGCCATCTGGTCTAGCTATGTATCTTCCAAATTTTACCAGTTATTGATGAGATCTGGACATCCTACTGGATCGTCAGCTATATCAGCTACTTGAGCTATGACANTTTTTTTTTTTGTTGCTAATTCTGCTGTTGTCCTGATTCTGCTTCTTTTGTTGTCCTACCCTGTCAATATGAAAATGTATACAATTGTTAGTATTTGTTTGAATTTAAATGTTTAAGTTATGACTGTTATTAAGATTTGAGATATTATTAGTGTTTTTTTTAATTTAAATGTTTATGGTTTTACTTGCATTTAAATATTTAGTATATATAAAATTAGAACTTAGATTGTTTAGAAGTAATTAAACTAAAATATATATTTTTTTTAACTGTTCGCTTTGCTTCGATAAAGCGTGTCGCTTCGCTTCTCGCTTCTCGTCTAGGCGTTAGGAGCCTTGGTCGCTTCGGTTCGCTTTACGCCTTAAATAACACTGGTCATATGCAAACAGCAGTAACATGATAAAACACAAGGTCAGTATTTAAATGATGTTATACTGTCACACTCACAGCTTGCAACGATACCAACAAGTATCACATTTTTATTTTTTAAAAAATCAAAAGCCAGTCATCAGGGATATATTGTCATGCTTAGAGGCAAAGCTAAATGAGAGAATTTTTTATTGTGGGGTTATTCAAAAGTGTATGTATGTTGTCGAACAACAAATTAAAGAAATCTCATTGTAGACCAGTTAATATAACCTGTAATCTGGAAGATTCTTTATAAAAAGATTTGCAAATACCTTGAGATGACTATTATCATCTGGAGAAGTAGAATAGTTTATGTACAACTGCATTCTTCCAACAACTTCATGCTCTGGCTCATGATATATGGACCACCAACGAAGCTTGTCCCCCTGCATCAACCATTGCATATAAGCCATCTGGTCTAGCTATGTATCTTCCAAATTTTACCAGTTATTGATGAGATCTGGACATCCTACTGGATCGTCAGCTATATCAGCTACTTGAGCTATGACACGGCCAAAATACTTTCCTTTAGAGTCTTGAAGTTCAATGATCAGATTGTCTCCTAAGCTATCTGGCAAGCTGTATTTCAACAGTTCAGAAATGAGACCAGCTCTTGTGGATGCATTAAGTAACAAGAGAAAACACAGAAAGCAATGTACGTACAAAATATGTGTTTCGCCAGATCCAGGTTGCATTCGAACTGCATCATCTTCAGATGAACTTTTCAATCTCAACAAACAGGAATATGTTTCTGCAACATAGTGAGAATCAACTCAATCAAAGTAGTATTGAAAGGGAAAAAAAAATTCAGCCATCGTAAAGCTACAAGGGAAAGGTGTGTTGAAAGGCAACCAGACATCAAGACCATTTGCAATGTTTTTAGTCTGTTCAAACTTCCAAATAGAATTGCTTCCAAATTATCATCTGAACATTTAACCAAACTTACCACAGAAAAATGGCTTTAGTATATGCAGTCCTGGAAAGGTTATAATATATTAATGCGTTGAACCAAGTGATTCTCATACAAAAACCCTGAATTGAGTACATTAATTTTCGTGCATCTGAGATAAGATTCACCAAAATCCAGCAAAACGGCTTACAATAATTATTCCATAATACCTAACAGTTGTGCAATGCACAACCTTCTATCATCCCAATATTAGCTATATCAGAATAATTAAAAAGTCTTTGTACCTTGCACTATTTCATATGACGATGAGCCGTTGTGCATAGTAGTCAGGCCAATTTTCAAGAGCTCAGACATTTCTTTTACATAGCGAGTGCCAGCATGCACATATGCCAAACTTTGTTGTGAAAAAGAACCATTTGAAGGGATGCGCGGTGCCACACGAACTTTCCTTAAGGCTTCCCATTCAGAAGATAATGTTGATTTTATATGGGACAAACGAAACCGTAACGATTCCAATTTTACCCTAGGAGGTTTCAGAGATGAAAAACTGCAGCCTGTTGGTGGGTCTAACCCCATTTTAACTTTTCGCACTGAAACACAATGTCAACTAGCTGTTAGAGGTATCAAGTCACAAATAATTTTTATGGAAATTAACATGAGAAACATAAAAGTACCTTGCACCTTCATTTTGCCTAAGGTTTTTTTCGGTTTTGTGGCAGCTCCCTCACTTACAAGTTCTGAAGATCTTGTCCTCAGCAGTTCATCCTCTGGTTGTAATAAAACTTGTTGCAAGCTATAATTTTAATTAGAAGAAAATAATGAATCATAATTCAAAATCTAAGTTTTTCAGGATTGTCCTGCATTGAAAAATGAGATGGTTGTGAAAGGAAAAGAATCAATACTTCAGAATCACCAATACAATTGGCACACTAAGTTCGATACCCAGACGCAACAGCTCAACTTCTCTTCGTCTGTTATGTTTAACAAGCAAATTATCATTATTCACCATTCAATTGCATTAAAACCTCTAGAGGATACAGATTGGTCATGTAGAAGATACTTTCTTTTTCAATGATTACTTTCAAAGGTCTATCATATTTTGTGGGAGAGTAGACAAGGTCATTCAAGCCAGAGGACTTTGAATATAAGTGTAAGTTCTGCGAAGTCCTCTTCACTCAACTTTTCATTTACAATCCCCATTTCTTAATTATTAAACAAATAGAATTAATGCTTGGACCAAAACTTAAAAAACTGACTAACGTAATTGTAAAATAGGGATTAAAATCTTAACATGGAATAATTAATAATGATCTTACCTAAATGCCTTTCGCAGCAGTGCACATTCATTTTCTAAAAAGGCGGGAGCTTCCATGCAACCCTCTGCCCACGAGTGAAGACATAGACGAACACAAGCGTCATAAGATATTAAAGCATACCATGGACCAAGCCCACTGCATCAAACATATATGACATACAGGATCAGTGCACAAATACAATAAACAAATCAATCAGAAGCAGTATAATGACATTAAATGAAGTAAGGGGCCGATTTCTTGATTTAGCTACCTTGCATGAAATGTGGGAAAGCGAGCAGTCAAAGAACTGGAAGATACAGCACCATTCCTGTGAACCATAGCAAAGAAACTTTATTTAATCAATTTTTTTCCCAAAAAGGGGATACGGAGAAGATAAAAAGAAAATTCCATAATGAGAAAATCCGACAAGTAAACTACACGAACCTTAAAGACGGGTCAGAAATTCTGGTTGCAGTACATTCATTTGCAGCACCTAATGGTGAGTTTTTGGTTGTGTTTGGTTCATCTGTATTTGCATAAACACTCGATGTTTCCGGGCAAGGGGTACTATCTGCTCTGAATTGCTCAGCAACTTGATGAATTTCCTCTACAGAACCAGCAAATGGGGGCGCACTGGGAAAATCGTTATCAGATAAGTTATTCTGCATTCCTTCGCCACAGAAGTTCTGGAACACCATATCCAGGTAAGAGCAGCCACAAAGAATGAGAACTATAAACCATAAAATAAAATGACTTGAACAAGAAATGATATTTGCAGTGTGTGTGTGTGTGTGTTTTTTTTTTTGTTGGGGGGGGGGGGGTGTTGTTCATGATAACAATATGCCAAGAATAAAAACAAAACAACAACAATTTTTTTTACAGGTTAATTTAACAACTATATGAATAAAAATAAGATAAAATTATCCCTGAAACATCAATCAAAATAGAATTTTATATATAAGCTTCATTAGAAAGGCAAAAAAGTTCAAAAAGAATGACTTCTAAAGCTATATTAATCAAGTTGGAGTCCATTGGGTACAAGGTACTGTTCTGAACAGACACTCATATATGATGTCAGAACTCAGAAATCAATGCAAGGTATAACAAAGTAGCTTTTAGGATAATGCTTGGGCCCTTTCATTCTGATAACAAGTATGCTAAGTGACACTAAGTTTTATTCATTGTTCAGTGTTACTGCCTAGACTCCTTGTTCTAAATAGATTACAGGGGAAAGAATAAGAGAATCCTATTCTGTCTCATTCATGTGGTGACAAAGAACAGGGGAAAAAAACTGGTGACCTATGGCATTGTTCTTTCTAGTATCCTTTTAAGACATTCACAACAACAAAAGCTCCAAAACAAAACATGAACTCCAATAGAAGCTTTCATTTCATCGGGTTTATAGGGGAGGGGGGAGGATTCGAACACCTCACCTTAAGGTGCACAACTACAACTAGAGGGGAGGGGCTAGCCAAATATAAGAAAGTATTTTCTTACCACCTCTTGTTATAAGTTTGCACTTTGAAAGGTAGCTCTAGAAACTCTTATATTTTCCCGTTCTAATAAGGCAAACATCATCCAACAATGATAATTGGTGCACTAGCATTTTGTATTAACCCAACAAGAATCCATACAAAAAAATAAAATAAAATAAACCTGTCTTGTGGTCTTCACATTTGGGCTTAATTGACCATTGGAGTAGTGCACCCTGGAAGTGCGTTTCCCCCCCTGAGGTAAATGGCCATTCCTGGTTACTGTTGAAGCCACCTCTGAGCTGGTGACTGAATCTGATGATTCATCATCGGTAAGACAATTTGGTGGCACTGCATTCCCACCACCTCCATGTCCAAATCTCTCCAATCCATACCCTTGTCTATGCTGAGTTGCATTCCTCGATGAACTGAAATCAGATTGAACTGGGCCGGTTTTGATATCAACTTGCCTATTCATGAAACTGGTGTATCTTGGACCAGCCCCATTGGGAAATTTGTCATCCTGTGGTGATGATTCCACCAAGTACCGCACACCATAAGCCTCTTCATCAGAATCAGAGCTGATATCCATGTCTGATCCACTGTCATTAGCACCAACAGGTATTGTTCGTGACACTGGAACAACACCAGAGGGCAAGTGCCCACTTCGGAACTTGGCCGGAGACGGCAACCCAAAACCCCGGACATGGTTCCTCAGGCCAACAATCGGATCAGACTGTAATCTCTGATTTGACATGAAAAATGAATTCTCTCTCTTCGTTTCACTACTCCCCTAATCCAATTTCAGATATTCCAACAAATTATCAACTGGCACTATCACTTAAAGTCAAAATCAAAATAAAAAGGAACCAAAATCAACAATCGCACATCCTATAACGCTAAAAAGTGTAATCTTCCGAATCAAAACCAAGTTCATTAAAAATTTAGTCATTTGTCTCACCTGTCGAACCCTTCTAATGGAATCTCTGTCAAGCCCTTTAGTGAAAGTAGTCATTAGGGTTTTCTCTTCACATAAGCCGTCAAAGCAAAGATAGAAAATAGAAACCAATATCAGTCTTTCACATTAAAAAAGAAAAGGAAAGAAAAGAGACCCAATTACATAACATAGCGTTTCTTTTCTGCGAAACCGAAGTAACAGAAAAAGAAAACTTGGGTTCTCTTTATATTGTGTTTTGACTAAAAATCACTTTTCTCTCATACCCAGTTTCCTTTCTTTTCTTTTTTTTTTCTTCTGTGTATTTACTTTCTTTTCTTAAAGTTTCTCATCAACCAAACAGTGCATTGAGGTTGTAAGATTTTCCTCAGATACAAATCAAAGCATAGAAAACCCAGTTGTCAATCTTCCACCCAAAATTGTTTTGCTCTGCAAATTAAAGTAAAGATTTGAGTCAATGTATTTCAAAATTCACTTTCCATAAATCACACACAAACTCAAGCCGAAAATTTACAGAATATATATATATATATATGGACATGCAAGGAAAGAAAATAATTATAAGCAGAAGATGTAAATATGTAGTGCACTTACTATGAGAAAATGAGGAAAAGTAAGTTGAAGAGACTGCTCTGACTCTCAGTCCTCTTCCTCCTCTGAGAAGCTTTAATGGCTTCTCTCTCTCTCTCTCCTCCTTTTATAGTTCCAGTGTGTATTATCTTCCCACGGGCCTGTACCGTTGTACGTATTTCAAATTTTCTTAACACAAAAAAATTGTTACTTTTATTTTAATTTATATTTACTTTTATACTTTAAGAATGATACTCTGTACCCTAAAAAATTTCAGATTCTCATTTTAAACCTTAAAAGATTATAATTTTTGGATTGCACCCTCAATTAGGCAAAAAGGTACCAATGTGATCCAAAAAAATAATTCTAATGATTTATTTGACAATTTTATGTCTTTTTATCTTTGTATTTTTTTATTTCTATTTTCATTTATTTTTATTTTACTCAATTCTAGGTATTTTGCGTTAAAATTTAATACTCAGTTTTATTAAAGCAGACCACATTGCTAGCTTTTTGTATCATTGAAAGTATAATTTGAGAATTTTAATCTTTCAAATTATAAATTTAAAATTTTAAAAAAATTGAACGTAGAAAGTGTCATTCTCCCAAAAATAAAAGACGTTTTAGAATTTAAAATTAGATATTGTGAGAGTGATTAAGGGAGACGATTAAGGGGGACGTGTAAGTAACGTGAAGATGATGTGGCAAGTGGAAACTTTGCCTTTCATAACGGTCGATCTGTTTAGTGGCGCGCTTTGAGGGGTCCAGTTACGCATGGTGGCACACACTTTCTGTGCCTCTATCAAAACGAAGGAATAACTCAGAGTGATAATATGGACCAGTTTTAAATTTAAACATCTTGATTTTGAATTTTTATAATTTTTTTGGATTAGCTCATGAAAAATTTATTCCTCATAAATACCCTAATTTTAACGTGAATGATCAGTCTTTAATCGGATTAGAGAGAGGATTAATCGAGGTGTGCATAAACTAACCCGAATATTTTTAACTTTTGAAAAAAAAAAAAAGAATAGAATAGAATTGGTTTATACTTGATAGGTTATGCTATGATTTTCAATCGTATAAAATAGTATTGTGTCGATTTTTATTCAAATTTATACTGAACGTGCCTATAATCATATATTGTTGAATTCACACCATGTTCAATTTCATACCTTGTATAAACCTATTTAGTTGCATCTTATTATAATTGTTGGAATTAATGTATAATTGAATGGGATTAAATTATAATTAAAAATAAAGAGCATTGTTATGCTTATTAAATTATTTATCAAAATTTGTATACCAAACTATGGTTAGATTAATGGATCCCACCCACTCTCCGCTAAAACATTGAATTCATAGGATTTTACCCCATTATTTGGTATACAATATTTGGTAAATTGATTTTGAATGCATAGTTTTATTTTAGAAATAATCATGGGAAGCATAGTTTTATTCCTTTACGAGAAAGTCTACGACACCGAAAATTATAATTTTTTATGGTAAAGTCTATGGTACCAAAAATTATATTTTTTTATAAAAAAATTATATTTTTAAAATGAAAAGTTATAACTGTCCAATAGAAGATTATGATCAATCATATATGTTCATGATTGATCATAGATTTTACTTGAACAGTTATAACTTTTTCCTTATAAATTATAATTTAACTTTTAAAATTTGTAATTTAACCTTGAAAGTTGTAATTTTTAGTATTGATTTCAATCTTTCGTGATCGATCATACTCTTTCCAAATAATAACTTACGCTTTAAAAAAATTATACTTAATCTTAAAAAATTGTAGTTTTTGGTATATAGTCTATCCCTAGTTTTATCCTTAAAAATGATCAACATCATTGATAGCACACACATTCTGTGCTACTTTCTGTCTTTCCCGTAGGCTCACTCTGATCTGATGTGAGAGGAGAGAATGTAAGAATGGGACTGTGCCCTGTGGGGCCACATTTCAAAGTAGCTTTCAAACCCTAACTGGGACTCTGCTGTATCCAGTTTTTGATGCATGCCTTACTGGCTAAGAAAGGGTTTATAAAAATTATAGTAACACCCACAGATAATTAGGTCTAACTGCAAAGGCACCATTTTGCGATCACTTCCACAGATGACATTGGGCCTTTTTGGAATTGGCATAAATACTTAGGTTTTTTAGGTTTTAAAGAAAAAAAAAACTTGATTAGTTTGGATCCGGGTTGATTGGCCCATTTTTTCATCAATTTTTTGGGCAAAAATAACTTTTATCAGGACCAAAAAAAAAAATAAAAAATAGGGTTTATCTAAGGACTTACAAGAAAAAGTAGACTTTTTTTAAAAACACTTCAAACAGTTTTAAAATTTTTTTTAACTCTTACTATTTAATTTCATTTTTCAAATATCTGATTCACACTAAAAAAAATCAACTCTAAACGGGTCCATTGTCATGAAAGATTCTTCCACAAGTATTGATTTTATCTTAGGTCATCAAACTTAATTTATTGATGCTAATCAAAAAATTAAAAATAAAAAAGAATAATTTTTTTTGAAAATATTATACATAAAAGATAATATCTCTATCTCATCATCTAAATCAAAAATAAACCCAATGAATCAAATATTTTTTTAAAAATACGAACTTAAATATTCATGTCCAAAATTCAATATAAAATAAATTAAATAAATACGGAGAACATGTACTAAGAAAATATTTAAAGCTAATCTGCCAACGGATCAAATTTAGACCAGATATAAAAATATTAGACCATATCCAAATCCGCTTATAAATAATACACGGGTTTATTTCGATCCGTGATTGTATACGACCAAAATTTTAACAAATAAATTTTTTAGATCAAATATAAATCATTAATTTCTCTCTCTCTCTCTCTCTCTCTCTCTCTCTCTCTTTATATATATATATATATATATATGTATTATATGTATATTTTTGTTTGGTTAGATTTAAATGTATTCATTTTCATATCCGATTTAAAATATCTAAACAGATTTCGATTGAATTCAGTTAAAAAATTAGTCTATATTCGGTTAAATGGATTAGACTAAAATCTAATCTATTAACAAACTTATTTTAAAAAATAAGAAAATGATAAATATTTCTGACATTTTGACCAAGTACAGCTTTTTTTTATATTTAGAATATTCTATTAGGGATGTGACTCTTATTTTATCCTGAAAAAGCTGTACGTTATTCTTTACTTGAAAATGTTTGTGACCTGTACGCTTTTGTCTTTTTCTCTTTTTAATATATGGGTAGGTTTGAAGAGAAGATAGAAATACCTATAACCACACTATAACGATCAGAATTTTATTTTAGTACATTCTGTTAGTCACTTCAGAAACAGACACGTTATAGTTATAATATGTTTCGAATATATTATGATTTATTTTAAAAATAGAATAAAAAAATTAAAAATTATTTTTTTAAAATATTGATCGAAATATACCAAAATACCTTAAAATATTTTAAAACATTATGAAACAATTATACGAATGTATTAAAAATTACAAAATATCTCAAAACATCATGAAACACATTAAAATATTAGAATTGTAATTCTATCACTGATTCGTTTCGATCTCGTAAAAAATAGAAACGTTTCAGACGTTTTGAAACGATATTCTGCTTCTTGGGTCACTTACATAACAATGCAATATAGTTTTAATATTATAATTTTATCTGGTAAGTACTATTAGTATTTTTCTAACATTGATATTTTAAATTTATCAGAAATATTGACGATGATAATTAATTTTTTTTTCATTGTTAGTTGTGAGTTATGAATAACTGATCTTTTCAATCACTTAAGTTATCGTTTTAACGTGTAATTAATTATGTTACAATAGTTGTTGCTTGAATTCGAGAATTTTTTAATCAAGCTTGATGGGGCCCAATCTTGTCAAAGCTCTAATCTATAGTCTGAGTGAGCCTATAGTTAGTATAATGTATAGTACAACTTTGACTATGCTATGCATGCTCATATGGAATCTAGTTCTTCTGATCACACTTCCTCAGAAAGAGCATAGAGAGCCAACTTCAAAAGATTAAGGGTTGCAAGATACCTAAAAATGAGTCAGCTAGCCACCAAAGCTACATTCAATTATATACTACTGGCAGCAGCAATGCATCGTCTGGTACGATAAAAAATAAAATGATGAAAAATTAAAAAGATGAAATATTGGAGGGATAAATAAAATATTATATTTGATAAGGAAAAAATATAAGAATGATGAAAAAATGGATAAATTAACTTTCCTTCCAACTCATCAATCAATCCCTCTAAAATCGAATAAAAAGTTAATTATTTGTGTTGAGATATATCTTATTTGTTTATATATTATGTATGCATTAATTTCATATAAAAATACAATAATAAAATATGTATTTATATATATATATATAAATTAAAAAATATATATTTTTTATATTAATTAAGGGTGAAATTTTTTAACTTAACACGATAACACGACTCGAATTAGACACGAACTTAATTATAACTCGACACGAATTTGAAAATGACCTGACACGCGAACAAGAAATATAAAAAACTTATAATTTTATGATTCAACACGAATCTGACACGACACGACTTGATTGTCACCTCTAATATTAGACAAAAAAAAAATTGGTCATTTTATTTTTTCATCCATCCAACTAAGCACAAAAAAAGGAAAGCATATGATTCCTCATTTCTATTGTTGAAGGATAGAAAGTGTATTCCTCTTACTTTCTAATATTCCTATTTTTTATCCTTCCTACCAAATGAAGCACAAATATCCCAAATAATCCCCAGGGAAAATTTTTTATTAATTTAAACAACTATCACCGATTTATTTAAAATTACTTTTGATATTTCGCTTGGTATTAGTGGTGAAACTCAAGTAGGAGCGGATAGTTTGAGAAGTCAATTTTGACTCAACTTGTATTTCACCTGAACCTAATTTCAATCTGAATTTTTCAACCCGAATAATTCCCATATTTAAATTTTTTTAACTCAGGGTAAACCATGTTACACAAATCAAGCCGAAAAATCGAGATCAATTCTCAAGTTGAGGTTCATTCACAATCGATTTGCATTCTAGAATTATACAACTTGAGTTGAGAATTCAAATTGAATTCAAGTCAAAAATATCGGGTAAAATTCAAGTTCAATTCAAACTACGATTTGAAAACTCGAGGTCCCACTCTAACTACCGTCCACATTTACACCTCAATGAAAATTTTCATCCAAATCTTACCCCAAGTCCTGAAAATCTTTGTACAAATATTGACTATCTCATATTAAATTCGAGTTAATCGGTCCAAATTACACCCCTTGGCCACAAAGTAGTAGTGAGAAATAAATCTTAAATACTGCTGACCCTTGTTGTATAAGCAATCTGTTTAATGTGAAAGAAAGATATTGGTCACATCTAAATGACTAATTTTACACAGACATTCCAACTAACCAACCGCGTCTAATAGACATGAGTTATTGTCTAAGGATTTGGCAGCTGTTTCAGTGACCATATGTAGCTATCTATCTTGCTTGCTCGTTTACAGTTCACAGAAGTGGACTGGAACCACTTATTGCAGTTTACAGAGATGCACGGTTCTTGTCCCCGTCAAGGTAGCTGACTGAAATGAGAGGGCTTTATTGATTATTATCTCAAACTCCACAAAATACGTACACTCAATTTACATGTCATTGCATACATTCCAAATTTACGAGAGGCACGAGTCTATAGAATGCATCCGTAGGATAATTATCAGTTAAAAAAAGGAAGAAATAACATCACTGGGAGAATGAATTTTGGTAATGAAACTTCATCTTACAATCCACAAGACCCTAGTACAATACACATGCAAACGAAAAACAGAAAGAAAGAAAAACCGCAATTTTATCCCAATGATAAAGCACCACTGGTGATGACCTAGGCAAAGCTAGGTTCAAATACCTATCCACAGCTAAAAAAAACACAAACAAAAAAGGGAATGGAAGGGAAAGGGAAATAACTCCACAAGTGTTGGCACTAGGAACGCAGCATTCAAGATGTTCAGGGTTCAGTGCACAAATGCAAGTTGTGAGGAGAATGCTACCTTTCTGAGGTCATTACTCATACACATCCTTAATTTGCAGATCTACTACGATGTGACCATTAGATTCATAGTCAATTTCATTCAATGCTACAACACCGCTAATCCAATGACCACAACGGATTCTACTTGGGAAACTAATAAATTTCCCTCTACATGCATGCAAATCAATAGAGATCAATCTATCAACAATCAAAGACAATAACAAACCAAAAACGACAACAAAAGTCACCAAAACTTTTAAGTGGAAACCTTTTAAAATGAGGGTAAAAAAATCACTAGGGCAAGAGTAGTGCAAATTCAATCCACTTGCAAGAAAAACTTGTCCATAATGCCAATTGCACTTTAGGGCTTCTTCAGGTGCAATGATATGCATGTTAAGAACATTAAAAAAACAAAAAACCCACCCCATAAATATCACTGCTTTTCTTTGTTGTACTACCACAATGGTGAAGTTGCACTAAATAAACAATTGCTTGCATTCCAATTCCAGTTAAAATTGGGCGAGATTCCTAGCAGTAAAGAACAGATATTACCATACATTACATGTCTCTACCAACATGGACTTATGATATGCAGCTTCGACAACGGATGAATGCATTGCACCAGCAAAACATCATCAAAGAAAGCCCAACCTCACTCATTTTAACCTTGCACCTATTTCATGAGTATTCTTAGATGGGAAAGAAGAGGGCATCACAGGACCATAACTTGGGCATCTTTACCAACCAGAGAAAGACAGGGAAAATCAACAATTAAGATTTTGATTTTCTTTTCCTAATATAAACAAAAAGAGATATACTGCCTCAGTATCCTATTTACCCACAGATTGGCAAGGAAAAATGCAAAAAAACTCAACTTTAACTATAAAAAGACACTTGATTTATACAATATAGCTCACTTAATGTAACAGTTCAAACTCATTTGGTGCCTCCATAAGCCCACATCAATCAAGCATCTGATAAGCCCAAGACTTGTTGCTTAATTTCTTCGATTTTGCCAGCCAATTCATCCCGATTTTTCTGCAAAATACAGGTACCACAAACAAATAAGTATGGTCCCCTATATTAAGGAGAATATATATAGAATCAGGGAGTGTAACCTGAAAGAACTACCTTATAGATTAGATAACGAGTGCTGAACCAGAGGGTGTAAGCAAGACCAACAATTTCCATCAATTTAGGGAACTGTCACAAAATAAACAGTATCAACATGTCAGTGAACAGACTTAATACAAAATTTCAGAATTTTCTCGATCTCTCCAAACAAAAAGAATTTGTATTACACACCACAGGGATAGAATCAATGGCTCCAACAACGGCCGTCGCTAAATAAAGCACAATAAGGGTGCCGCCACCAAGTAGGAGAATTGAATATGAATCTTCCAATTCAAACTGCAAAAGAGTGAAGCATAGTGTCATAAAGACTGCAGAATAATTGCCAAAATTACATCTCTTACTCCTCTTTCTTTGATGGTACATTATCTCTTGTTTCCTAAAACAGGTCATGAACCAAAAAGATATGTTACTCACTAAACAAGAAAATATATTGGGGGAATGAGGAAAACTAAGCAACACTAGATAGAGAAGTAAGACATTTTTCTATATCTGAAATTTCCTAACTAAATGGGATCTCAGACTGAACCCACGCTCTGGAGACCTTTGTCACCACATTTGCACAACTTCAGGCAACAGTGGTCATAATTAGCACAACAAATTTTCAACCCATTTGATATGCACGAGTAAAATAAACCATTCATAAATTAACATCACTGAAATATTCAGACCAACTAATGATCCATAGTACTTAACATTAGTATGTGATAAAATAACAGGAAGAAGTTATTTTCTATGCAAAAACTGATAGGAGGTGAGAATCCATCGTGGGCGACCCGACCTATCTAGTCATGACCATAGAAGCTCCTATCTGTAGGGAACCAATGATACCCCAGATGGTTTTTTTTTTTTTTTTTTGGGGGTGTGTGTGTGTGTGAACTACAAACACTACCTCAAGACGTTGAACCACAGTGTGACCCCAACGCAGGAACCGAAACATTACAAGATGAAGAATCATTATCGCATCATCATGATAAATGAAGGCAAAGTAGGCTTTTGGAAACCAATGACTAATCCCTTTACATACTCAGCTAAGGAAGAAGACTAGTTCCTTTGCTCGTAATGACATAATGAAACCAAACCCCCATGCAACTTTCATTATCATTAGCTAATATAATAATATAGGAAATAAAAAAAAAACCAGTAGATATGTGTCATAAATTAAGAGACTAGAAGTGAAAGGACCAACAAAAACTAAAAAAGAAGAAAAGGGAAGAGCAGGAAAAGGAAATACATAACAAAGTATCAAAGACAGCTAAAACTGGTGATAGGATTGGGTGCAGAGTTAACCGCCAGCGCTCAAGGATCAACATAACTGATAGCTGTCGGCATTTTCATCAAGCATTTACCAAAACACTTCAATAATATTTTAGCATTCATTATTGTAATATCTTACACAGAAATTAAGAACGAATGCAAAATATAAAACTAAAATATAAGAAACCAATGGCCCAGAATATGGACATAAAATTTTTTCTACAATGAATTTGAATTACTCTTCTTTTGAAAATGAAGAGAGGCCACCACAGGCGGGGCCCATGGGAGGGGGAGATCATACGAACATCACTAGCAAGACTTCAAACCTCAACTTCATACTCAAACAATTGAGGTAGAGCTCACAACAAATCAGAATGACTACTAGACCTAAAGGATATGAACAAATATTTCCTGCAATCTTTATTAAATCAATGGGAATTCGATTCCAAACAAGTAGAAAGAACAAAAGGATACAGAGAAGCATTTGGGAGCCAGAAAAAAATGTATACTTCGAAAAAATTAAGGAAGAAAGACATGAAGTTGTGGAATCAAGGCAAACAGAAGACAGTCAGAATAGAATACAGAAAGAGGACTAGTGAAAGGCCAGAAAAAATCAGGTTGCTCAGGTAACCGCTCACGATCGACATGATTGTCAACATTTCATTAAGCTTCCATGAACTCTCAATAATTCTAGCATTCATCACAGCAACCATCATTTATAAAGTACCCCATATCACAAACATATAAATCATGCTCATTCGAAACATGTAAAAATAAAAGATGAAGAGAGATAATAACTCTATAATGGAAACACAATATAGAATAAATATAAGATGCAATAAAATGCATCTAAGTCCTAATATCCAAAACTGAGCAACGAAACTATGACTCGGTGAACAGATTAGATGATCAGAATAAGACAGTGAAAAATGACTAATGAAGGGGAAAAAACCTATTCCTCAGCCAATCAGTCAGGATCAACATAGCTTCCGACATTTCATTAGGCATATACACAAACTTTCTATTTGCATTCAAAGAAAACTGCATAAACTTAGGAAGATCAATCATCAAAAAAAAATATAAATATATATATCAAATGAAAATTGGAACCTGAAAATAAAAAAAGTTTATAAAAATGAGAACCCCAGAAGAAAAGTAATAGAATAGAAGAACAAAATAACAAAAACTGAATGCCAAACTTGACTACAGAGATACCAAATTTTTCTTTTTTTAGGGGGGCAGAGAGAGGGAGATTATGACAATAATAGTATGCTGCAGAAGTTTAAAGTACCATAATCACTATGTGATACATTTTAAGTCCAGCAATTATAAAACGTGAATCACAAACCCTCATTTTGGTCTTAACTCTTGACCAAGTGAGGCACAGCTCATGTTCATACCACAGCTAACAATTGGCAACATGGAATATATATTTCTTGTGATCTTTAGTTGATCAACAAGGCCTGGATTTCACAAGTGCAGAAATAAATAAATAATATAATACAGGATCATTTGAGAATTGGGAAGAAACGTATACCTTAAAAAATAAGGAAGAAAGTCATAAAATTGTGAAATCATTGCAAAAGGAAGATAGCTAGAATAGAATACTAAAGAGAACAAAAGAAGGAAAAAAAGAAAATCTGGTTGCTCAGGTAACCGCTCAGATTGACATGATTGTCAACATTTCATTAAGTATCTGTTAACTCTCAAACAATTCTAGCATTCATCATAGCAACCATCATTTATAAAACTCCATGTATCACACATATACGAAGCTTGCTCATTTGAAAGAAAATTAATAAAGGTAACACTAAAAAACCTCATGCTAATCTTTGTCCAGTACGCAACTTTATGTTACTCGTTGTGCACATTAGGAGTACATTTAGCACAAAATACACTTTATAAGAATTAAATATTAACCTTTATTCTGAGATTCTCCAGAAACTCGAATGGTTGCATTTGGTCTTCCTCAGGAGAATCTTCCTTAGGTACTTCACTTTCAACATACTCATTCTTTTCAACAGGTTGATCATCTTCATTTGCTATCACATCATCGGGTTCATCTTTAACATACTTGCCTGCTGCACTCGGTGTTTCCTCAGAGGTAGTCATCCCCTCATTTGCTATCACAACATCAGGTTCATCTTTAACATACAGGCCTTCTACACTTGACGTTTCCTCAGAGGTTGTCGACCTTAGAGATGAATTGGTGTAATATAGCAATCCTGAATAGAAAACCAAAAGGCACAAGTCACAGAGTGAAAATTGTTTTCAAAATCCTTCTTGTTTCCCTATTCTTAGGTTAAAAATGTTGCCTCCACAGCTCTTCCAGCAGAGAGATGAAAGTTCTGGCTGGCATCAAAAGGGGGGGTTGGTTAGATAATGCAATTACAATTTATAATCCGAAAGGGATAAAATTCTTGTGAATTCCAAACCAATTAGCTTGAATGCCATATGGGACTACCACAGATGCAATACTAGGGAGCTGGAAGCCTGGAACAAACCATGCTTTAAGCCATTACATCATTCCAAGGTTGCAATTCCTCACGTGGAGAAAATCATTCTTCCAGTACGTACACCCAAGATAAATCGTAATTTGACAACTATGTTGGGCATCATTACCATCATTCCAATACTTAAAACCTACTGAAAACACTTCAAAACCCTAACAAAATTGAAAATTCGCGAAACAATCAATTAATTATACAGCCAAAAAGCACAAAAATAAAAATGAAAACTCTGTGGTAATACAAGAGCAAGATTCGTTTCGCAGAGAGATATAACAGAATCAGGATTAATTGAAAGCAGATTCATACATTCATAACAATGTACGTATCTATGCAGGCAAAAAACAAAACAAAACAAATCAGATTATTACAGACTCTAAACCCCAAGTAATTCTTATACCTAGGGTTTTGTAGATTTACAGCATATATGATGAATATGGTAAGAGAGTAGAGACCTGGATTGGTGCGAGAAATTGAGACCTGCTTGAGAGGGAGAGAGGATTTCCAACGTAGAAGAGTGTGGTTTTGAGTGAAGGTTCTGTGGAGAGGAAGATTCGAGATGGTTCGAGCTGTGCAGAGCTCCATTTTTAGGGTTTGGATAACATGGATGAAGAGTGCAAGTCTCCTCCTTTTATGGAACCCTCTGGGCTCTGAAGAACATAACGGCGTTAAGACGGTGACAATATGCAAAATTACTAAATTATCCTCACGATGCAAGCCCTAAGTTTTTCAAATGATTGAGCCTCCCGGCTGGTCCAGTCCGGAAAATTCAGGGGCTGGATCATTTGTTTGGGTACCTGGGCCGAGCCTGTGCAAAAAAAATAAATAAAACTAATATCTATTTATCATTCCTCCATATTAAACAATCGAACTATATCAAATTGTAAGAGATGAATTACAAAATTATTATATTTTAAAACTATTAAATTTTTAATAATAGTTTTTCCTAATTCAATTCTTCTACATTGCCAGCTACACTCGATTTTTTTTTTTTGGTCGGTAGAGATGGGTTGAATTAGAATGTGGTTGTTACAGAGGGTGAGATCCATATGAAAGGGAAATTATATAAATACAACTCGTGCATCGTAAGGTTCGGTATATATTTCTACAATATAATAAAATAACTTACAATTCAAATTTCAAAAGATAAACAAAATGATTTTTGTTTTTTGCGATTCAGATCGCTTTAAATTTTACTTTAAAGTTAATTTAACAGCTAATATTAACACCCCAAATTTAATAGAAAAAATAGGTTATAAGGGTGTGTTTGAAGTGACTTTTTAAAAGTACTTCTATAAATTATTTCTCATAAGTACTTTAAAAAAAAATAATGTTTGAAACAGCTCGACCACTACCTCTACCACCACTGCTGTTACCACCACCGTCGCCACCACCATCGCCGCCACCCCCACCACCACCACCACTATTACTGCATCGTTGCCGCCACCACCACCACAGTCATTACCTCCCACCACAACCGTCACCGTCTCCTACCACCACCACTTCTCACCCCGCTACAACTAATACTTAAATTTATTTACCTTTCATCTATATTTGTGATTTATTTTTGGATATGATATGTTTATTATTTATAATTTTTTATTACTCTGTACCTTCAAGTATAGAGAATAACTAATATTTCTACGAAAATACCACGGGATTGTGCCGATCCGGGCCAGATGGGCCTTTGAAGGAGGGAATATCAATACAACATCAGGAAGGACCAGAACCGGTAGGTAAATGGGACTTCCTGAACTCATGTACACTTGCATAAAATTTGGTTTGGGCTCATGATTTTCACGTGATACGAGAGTATGACAGACGACAATGAGTTCTGTCGCATCCTGTTGTGTCAAAATTGCTCGACACACACTTGAATCATTTCTAACTGTTCGATGATTATAAATCAGGTTCATACCATGTGCATACATACCATTTATAAATTGTATTTAACGAATTATTATCATATTGCATTGAGTTTGTATAAATCTGTTTATTTAGGGAGTCTAATAATTCTTACTCCATTATTATTAAACTCCACTAAAATTAATTCAGTAATTTTGTATCGATTTTGCATATGAGATCTTTTTTTAATTTTTTATTCAATTGAAAAAAAATATTCAGATTAATCTATTTAATAAAGTAAAATATAATTCAAATCCTAAAAAATAAATAAAATAATTTTAATTTTTTGCGGTTCAGATCATTTCTAAATTTGTTTAAATCTGATTCAACGGTTGGCATTAACTCCATAAATTTTTTTCCTGCCCAAAGTTCTTTCTCATAGTCTACTTTAAATACTTGACTCTCTCTCTTACGTCATTAGGCAGAGCTCTCCCCTCTCTCTCACGTAGACCAGCATCATGAGGCAGCTCCAGAGGCCGAGACTCCCATGATTCCCCTCTTTCAACCCTAGACTAGCAGATTCAGCAACATCTTCAGGCAGCTCTGAAGACTCCGGTGAGGTCAACATATGTTCTCTCACTTTCTCTGCTCCAAGCATTCCATCTCTTTGTGGCTAAATTAGACAGATCTGGCAACTCAACTCAAACAAATTTAGCCCTAAATCAACGAAACCTCTTCAGTCTTTTCTTCTCCAGTGAAATCAGGTTAGGCAATCAAAGTCTCGAAGTTTAGCCTAAGGCAGTCGGTCTCCCCCTTCTCCTTCCTTATGTTAATTTGTAAGTCCTCTCTCTCCTCTTTTTCACTACTCGATCTTGCTCTATCGATCTTATTTTTGGGAGCAATTTTAAACCTAAATCAACAACCACCGACTAGCGAGCAGGTATGCCTCCCTCTGTCCCCCTCACTATGTTCATCTATTCACCCGACTCCACCGCCTCCTATGCCCACTTTCCCCGTTGTTCAGCTCCCCCTGTCACACAACCAAGAGCCATCGACATGGAATCACCACACGGTCCCAAATCCTCAACTGCTTAATGAAATCACGTAAGCCCATCAACTGTTCGATGAAAGTTCTCACTTTAATTATACGCATAAATGTTATGATGCTTTGTTTGGATTTGACTCAGTTGGATTTTATTTTGTGTTGTTGAGATTTTGATGGGGTTAAAATATTTTCAAGCTTGAATTGGATATGGATAATATCAATTTTGGGTTCAAACCCAACGTCGTTTTACGCTTCAAAATGTAGGGTTCCTTCCTACTTTGGTTATTTTACAACCTAGGGTGTAAAATGAAATGGGTAGGTTAATAGAGTTATATATATCACTTGCCTATTGTATTGAAATTGATAAAATGGGCATTGGAAAGGGGTAGAATAAATTCTACCCTATAATGGGCATGTAAAAATTACTCAAAGTAATTTCTTGAAAAAAGGTGGGAATTAATATATGGAAATTATTTGTGTGATTCCATAAAATATGGCATGCTATGTGTTTATGTTATGCCTTTGTGAATGAAGTATGTTATTGAAATATGTTATGTAATAACATGCTTGGGATATGTTGTTGGAAATAAAATGTTGATGTATGTTTATTGATATGTTAGCATTGTGATAAAGTTGGTGATTAGATGCATATGATATAATTGACCATGAAATATGTAGATGTATGGTTAATTTTGCTCATGTGGCATTCATTACATATGGACATGATATTGATATAACAATAGTGCATTACATTGCATTTGCACGGAGGTATCGCATCCATGGGCACGAGACATGGGTGTGGGTATGGGTATGTACATGGTTTGATCAAGCAACCATACTTAGTGGTCGATGGGTGGGCTCGGGAAAGTTGAATTGAAAATTCGATTGAGTCGCATGGTTGCATGGGAAAAAGAATTGGGTCGGGGTTAACAAGAAGGGCTAGACTATCACTCGGGTGAGAGACCCGGTGGTCAGATACGCACTCCGTTGGTCTAAGAGCTCATAAAGTGTGTCGGTATATGCGGAACCGTTGGTGGAAGTCCATAAATTCCGTGTCAGTTGAGTGTCGTTGGTGTAAGTCCATAAATATCCACCCCAAGAAAGACCCGGAGATTTTTAATTAGTCATTGANACGCACTCCGTTGGTCTAAGAGCTCATAAAGTGTGTCGGTATATGCGGAACCGTTGGTGAAAGTCCATAAATTCCGTGTCAGTTGAGTGCCGTTGGTGTAAGTCCATAAATACCCACCCCAAGAAAGACCCGGAGATTTTTAATTAGTCATTGGGCGTGTAACGCCAATGTCGGGGCTTGGAAAGTCGATTTTTTATACTCATGACATTGCATAGGAGAAAAGGAGTCAGGAGGGCTCGGGTTGAGTTGCATGAGTGGGTGCAACCTCATATTATGGCATGACATGTTATATTCCAACTTAGACTGGCTAAATCTTGATTGAAATAGTTGTTGCTTGTGTTATGTGTTGCATATGAGCATTTCATGTGCATCTAAGTTAGGGAGTAGCTTCTGTAGAAAATATTCTACTGAGCGTGACTCACATTTTATGGGAAAAATATTTCAGGTGCGGGTGGTATGTTAGCGGAAGGCTCTCACTCGGGGCCTCAAGTATGAAGAAAGCCAGAATGTGACTCTATTTTGAGTTTTTGTACAAGTATTATGAAAACTTAGTTTTGATATGTAAATTTTTTGAAATGAATGTAATATAATGTGTATGGACCTTGTATTAAATGAAAATCTTTATTGTACATGTGTTGGATGGATGTAATATGGTTTGGAATGAGTTGAAAATGCAAAACATGTGAAACATGCAAAAGTCAGCAAAGCATACGGTAGGGCGCACCGGTATGACGAGGTCTAGTGGGCAACTCGTACCGGTAAGGCATACCGATACAACTTTGTCCAGAAGACAAACCCTACTGGTAGGGATTTTTCAGTAAGCTCACCCTACCGGTATGCCATACCGGTAGGACTTCCAAAAATTTGAAATTTTAAAACTGTTTTGCCATGTTTTTTGGTCATGTGTCTTTCCTTCCAAATGATGTAAATGAACTATAATGGAGTATGGAATATGGTACATTGTACCATGATTTGATTAAATGATAAAATGTACACGGGTTACTCGTATAAGTAATAATGTTGGTTAAGAGGATGCTATTGACGTGATGTCGAGTTGTGCGACAATCACGGGTATTTCCACGGGTTGACGGGTGGTCAACGATATAAAGAAGACCCCCGATTTTAGGGGCGTCACAAATGCTTTATGCTATAGACATTGGAACGCCTCTGGTAAACTTGTATACAAGATTCTAGTTTGATGGATTCGATAATGCCATTGAACATGTTCACTCTACTTGACTCATCAAAGTCTAGGACCTTCTTTTCTTCTATTTTCCCTTCTTTTTTCCCCTTTTTAATGGATTCTTGTTTTTTTTTTCTTTTTAAATCATGTCTCAATTTGGGAATCTCTTTCATAAGAAAAAGGTGGACTATTGGTTTACCCTCATACTGTGCAAATTCTAGGACTAGCAATAAATTTTGTTTTTATTTTTTTTAATAAGAAACCAATCTAAGGACAATCCCTGTCTCGCTCCCAAGTAATAGATGCCTAAGTTGATAACAAATAGTCTCAAAAGCATTCCAATCAAATGGCATAACAAATTATGAAACTAACTTATAGCTTTTGGAGATCCCACCCTTGTGAAAGAGTAATTAGCAATGAGTTATAGGCAAAAATCCAGCAGGCACCTACAATTGCATACAAAAAATGTTATTCATACAAAAAGGCACTTTTTCCAAATGAGTTGGTGGGGTTCAAGAGTGATATGGAGGTGTGAACTCAATTAGTAAAAATATCTTTTGATAAATATTTTGATAGGCATGGAATTAGTCTTGCCATATAGGCAAGTTTCAAACTGCAAATTAGACCATTCACTGGACAAACACATGAGAACAAACATAACCACTGCAATTTTACCTCTTAAAACAATATTTTTCAACTAAAAATTCAGCTCAAGGTACAATCAAGTAGTATAATGNTTGCCATGCTTTTTGGTCATGTGTCTTTCCTTCCAAATGATGTAAATGAACTATAATGGAGTATGGAATATGGTACATTGTACCACGATTTGATTAAATGATAAAATGTACACGGGTTACTCGTATAAGTAATAATGTTGGTTAAGAGGATGCTATTGACGTGATGTCGAGTTGTGCGACAATCACGGGTATTTCCACGGGTTGACGGGTGGTCAACGATATAAAGAAGACCCCCGATTTTAGGGGCGTCACAAATGCTTTATGCTATAGACATTGGAACGCCTCTGGTAAACTTGTATACAAGATTCTAGTTTGATGGATTCGATAATGCCATTGAACATGTTCACTCTACTTGACTCATCACAGTCTAGGACCTTCTTTTCTTCTATTTTCCCTTCTTTTTTCCCCTTTTTAATGGATTCTTGTTTTTTTTTCTTTTTAAATCATGTCTCAATTTGGGAATCTCTTTCATAAGAAAAAGGTGGACTATTGGTTTACCCTCATACTGTGCAAATTCTAGGACTAGCAATAAATTTTGTTTTTATTTTTTTTAAAAATAAACCAATCTAAGGACAATCCCTGTCTCGCTCCCAAGTAATAGATGCCTAAGTTGATAACAAATAGTCTCAAAAGCATTCCAATCAAATGGCATAACAAATTATGAAACTAACTTATAGCTTTTGGAGATCCCACCCTTGTGAAAGAGTAATTAGCAATGAGTTATAGGCAAAAATCCAGCAGGCACCTACAATTGCATACAAAAAATGTTATTCATACAAAAAGGCACTTTTTCCAAATGAGTTGGTGGGGTTCAAGAGTGATATGGAGGTGTGAACTCAATTAGTAAAAATATCTTTTGATAAATATTTTGATAGGCATGGAATTAGTCTTGCCATATAGGCAAGTTTCAAACTGCAAATTAGACCATTCACTGGACAAACACATGAGAACAAACATAACCACTGCAATTTTACCTCTTAAAACAATATTTTTCAACTAAAAATTCAGCTCAAGGTACAATCAAGTAGTATAATGCTCAACATTGTCAAAATCTCTCTGCCAATCTAGCAGAAACTGCTCTAAGTTTTGAATAAACCTTGCCAGCAGGGGACCCAATGATAAGGCTATCGAGAGAATCTCTTGCAATTTTGATGTTGGCAAAAGACCCCAGTATATGTATTTTGGTGTCTGTAATGACAATCCGAGTCTTCGTAGAGTTCTCAATTGCAAACTTGGTTTTACCCCTTTTACCAGATAATCTTCCAATGGCACGAGACAAGTGCTCGCCTCGAAGGGTTTTCACATCTTTGATCTCAAAAGACTCCACATAGAGTTTGTACATGCGGAGAAGTGCAACGATGTCAATCACGTCGAATCCAAGCATGAAAGCGTGCACAAAATCATCACATTTTTGGAGGTTACTGATGTCAGGTGTGTCTGATTTTGATCTTCAATTCAACCTTGCGAGCCTTGAGATTCATACAAATGTCGATTTTCATCTGCTCGTATATAGGAGTGTAAATTTCCATCCACGCTTTCTTGAGAGGCGTATATTGATGCTGTGGTACAGAGACTTTCTAGAATTGAACTTGACCGTTGGACATCTCGTGAGCCTTCAAGGGTGCAAAGTTTGGTTTTGAAGCAAAAGATACACGATTTGATTCAGATGGAACTTTTTCAAGTTCCATGGAGGTGGCACCTTCGTCGGATTGCATCATATAATCTGTAAAGAGAGATGCGAGCGCTTTCCACAGAGAGAAAGAGAAGGAGAGAGTTGAGGAGGAGGAGAGGCGCCGAGGTACATCTACAGAGCCTGTATCCTCTTCGAGGGTGTTTGGCAACTCATGGATGGATTGGACTGGCTTGGATTTAAATCCCAAATCAATCTAGTGAAATTCCAAATCAGTCAAATGAAATCCCAATAAGCCGGATTTGTAGGGGGATAAAAATAATTTGGGTTATCCAATTTCTGCTTTGGATAGTGCATTATGTTGTGGTTGGGATATGAACAAACTACATTTTTTTATTAAACATCTAATACATTTGATATTAATTGACCATTTTACCCTTGAATCCTATCTCCTTTTTGGCTTGACATTTGATCATATTAATTGATCAACGTTGGTTACCACTTTGTATGATACAATTTATACACTCCTCATGAAAATAGGCAATGCCTCTGGCAGTCCCCATTGCAACCCGAAATCTAACATCCCAACTCAAACTCTGACCATCCTTCTTTAAATACACACTCAAAGGACCACTAGGCATGTAATCATCAATAAAGAAGCCTGTGAGAATTCTCAGAACAAAACCCTCTTAATCTTACAAGATTAACATGTTGAATGTTCCCAATTATGCACACCTCTACTCTAAATTCTCTCTCACCACCACCAAGTCTTTCAAGCCTTGTCACCGGAAACACACCTTCCTTTTCTTCTCTCTTCCTTTTCTTGATCCTCATCTTCCTCCAACCCAATAAAATTGCAACCACCAACATCAACACCACTAAAAACCCACAAATTGTACCAATCAAAACCAAGGTTTTCTCTTTGTTCTTCTCTGTGATACTTCCCTTTTGTACTCTTAAGTATAAATCATCCTGAATTGTGTTATTGGAAGTGAGATTTTGAAGATTTAAGATAGATCCAAATAAATTCTTACAAAGATTATTACTTCCATGGTGATATAAACCAATACATGAACAATTACTCAAACATCTGTTCTCACAAGTACTCTTACTCGTTGGAAAAGAGACCACAATTGCATCGTCGTAATTCACCGGGCCAACCAATTCAAACACAAGTCCACTGATACACCAAAAATTCTCCAAAAAAAAAAGAATAATAATAATAAAAAAAAAAATATATATATATATATACTGTCTCAGAAAGAGAGAGAGAGAAAACATACCTTGCCAATGAGAGGAGTTCGTGCCGTTCTTCGTTGGGGACCAGTGCAAAAGGGGGAGAAGTGGTTAAAAAATCCTAACTCTTGTGTTGGGCAGGGGGTAAAATGGTAAAATATGATTTGTATCCTGTCAATTGAAAATGAATCCCAAAGTTTTGGTGGGATTTCTTTGTCCAGATGAGAGGGGATAAAGGGGCTGAATCAGTGTTATCAAAATTGGACCAGATCGTCCGGTCGGACCGGTCCAACCATGACCCAGGGCCTTAACCGGTCCGGTTCTCTAATCGGACAACATAAGGAAGAGAATCGGCTAAAAATCGAATAATTGGTCAATTTTTATAAAAAATCGTGAATTGCCCGTGTTTATAAAAATCGGACGGTTTGAAGATAAATGACTTAAATCCCATTTATTTGGGCCATTCTTTTGCCCTAAATCGTAGAAGCACCACTCCACTCTCTGGCGACCAACGAGCCCTCCACCCCCTCTATCTCCTCTCTCTCCCTAAACCCCTCCAGCCCCTTTCTCTCCTCAAATTACAGAAACCCATTAGAGGGCTTTACGCAGCAATTTGCTTAAGGTGGTGTTGCCGCTGTTGCTTCTACTAAGGTAGAGATAGGTCCTATTGAGAGAAACTTTCACCTATTTGTTTAGATTTTTGCTCTGGTGGGTTTGGTACTTCTAGTGGCGTTTCATCACCATCTGTAACCCCGTTTCATGAGATTATATATCAAACACCAAGTGCTACATACTCAGACTCTCTGGTTTTCAACAACTCCGATGACTAGGAAAATAGGTTGGATGAATTGGGTTTGTCGAAAAATCTTTGTAAAATGCATATTGGGAATGAACGAGATGATTTATCCGGTATTAATAGATTTTGTTTGGACCCAAATAATCTTAGGTTTGGATTTCGTGCCTATTTTTCAAATGCTATTAGTCCCCTGCAACGTTGAACATTACTGCCCAATTGAAGGTTTTGGTAGCAATGATAATGTTTGTGGGGAGTTTCAATCCTCCATTCATGGAGAATGGTTAAGGTGGTGCTATCGCTGTGGCTTAAGGTGGTGCTGCCACTGTTGCTTCAAGATTGAGAGAATGGTTTTTGCCTTATTTGTCCCCCATTTTTCTTTATCGCTATAAAACCTAAAGGATTTTCTCTCTCTCTCCCCTCTAGTATATTTCATAGTTATTGGGTTTGGTATTCTGAGTCTAAAAATTGTTGAAATTAGGTAAGTGATCTCAGACAAAATGAGTTTGTTCTTATGTAAACTTTAAAATTTAGTAGAGATTATGGTTTAGGGTTTGAACTTGGAGTGATTGTTCAGTTATGTCCTTAGATTAGATCTTTAAAGTTGAACTTTGATTTTGATATTTGACACATGTGTTTCTTTTATTTAACTTCATAAATTTTATGGCAAATTGTATGCATTTTAGACATTTTTTTATATTTTTTAGTTAAATTATTATGTTTTATAATTATTATATATATTTTTTTATTATATGATTGGTCCAACTATTTGACCCAACAGTTAAACCA